GTCCTTCACCAGTCTTTGAGTCAGGCTGTTTGTGCCTGCTCAGTTTTAGTTCTCTAAGTGTTCTGGAAATTACTCTTTTATCAGATGTACAACTTGCAAGTTACTCAGCCTTAAAAAGGAAGAAAATTCTGTAATATCTTACAGCATAGGTAACACTAAGAACATTGTAGTAAGCGAAACAAACAAGTTGGAAAAAAGACAAACACTGTATGATTTGCTTATAGGAGATACCGAGAGTTGTCACACTCATAGAAAGTGGAATGGTGGTTTCTGGATGCTTAGGTGAGGGGAGCTTAGGAATTATTGTTTATTGAGTGCTGAGGTTTTTAGAAGATGAAAAGAACTGTGGAAAAGGATGATGGTGATGGTTCTACATTATAAACGTATTTAATATCATTGAACTGTATGTACAGTTAAAATCACCATGGTGGCGAATTTTGTTATATGTATTTGTAATGAAGAGAAGGCTAATGAATGTTAAATGTTAAGCTGAAAAACAGTGAAGAAAGGGACAAAAATGTATCAGATAAACTAAAACAGTAAGAAAGCAGAGGAAACGGTCCTTACATCAGAGAACGCAGAACCTAGTCCTTAAAGCTTTAGACATGAGGAAGGCTCTTTAATAGTGAAACAGAAGTCACAATGACCATATAGCAGCCATGAAAACATGTGCATCAAATAACAGATGCCACACTTAGGAAGCAAAATCTATAGAAAGTGAAGCAAGACATGAAAAATTCATTTATAGCAGGATAACTTTATGCAACACTCTCAGTAAAAGATTCAATGAGTAAAAATGAAAGCAGGACAGTATAATCAATAAGGCAGAAGTTACAAACATACATCAAATCCAGGGTGTGTTGGCACGAGAGAGCATGCCTTTTTTTATAGCTCTTCATGGGACATCTACAAAATTGTGTGCCTGGTGACCAGGAGTGAATCCTATAACGCAGTGCTAGTGCAAATGATGCTTTCTTATCACAGTGAAAAATAGAAATCATTTTTTAAAGTAATGCTAGAAAACATTTTTTAGAAAGTCAGTTTTGGTTAAAAAAATAAATCCAATTTATGTGATAGAATTTCTGGAAAACAATAATAAAGTATAAGTGAACTCTATGGAATGCACTTGGAAACCAGTAGCATTACACGTTTATTGGTAAAAATGAAAAGGCAGGAAAGACTTGCTTGAGACTAAAAGATTAGATGCGCTAACATACATGCAAGTAAGAAACATAAACATAAAAAATAAAAACTAGATAAATTTAAAAGAAAGTTATGAAGGAGCTACCCCAGAAGACAGTACCAGACTGAGACATTGCTCAGGGCATTTCTAATAAAGCTTAGAAAATCAGATCTGTTCAATACTCTATCAATTGTCCTAGAGAATCAAAGGAAGAAGGAAATCTTCATTCATTGTTGTTAGGAGTATTGCACTGATACTTCAACTTGATAAATAATTTTAAAACCCATAGACTAGGGGCTGGAGAGATGGCTCAGCAGCTAAGAGTGTTAATTATTCATGCAGAGGACCCAGATTTGGTTCCTTGCACCCACATGGTGGCTTTCAACCACCTGTAACTCTAGTTCCAGGGGATCTAATGCCCTCTTCTGACCTCCATGGGCTTGTGCACTCTTGTGGTATACATAAACTCACACAGGTCCACATACATACGTATAAAAATAATAAATAAATCTTTAAAAAAGAAAAAAACCTCCACGTATTAATGCCACTTGTTAATTTAGAAACAGAAATAATAAATTATTGAGAAGAAAAATTCAATACCATTGTAAGAAAATGTTCAACATGATCAAGTGCAATTTATTCTAGGAATGCAAGGTTGGTTTGATATTAGGAAATTTAGTAGCATCACCCACCATCTTAATACGTCTGAAAGAAAAATATGATTATTTCCAAAGATGATGAAAAGGGTTTGTACAAAATGTAAAAAATGGTAAGTACTTTTCTCCCATGTTAAAATATGTATCCCTCTACTATAAATCCAGAATCTCACCGACCGAATACACATGGTATTTCTACTGAGATCATAAATAAGGCAAGGATGCCCCCTAATTTCACTACTACTAAACATGATGCTACACATATTCATTGACGTGACTATGTAAAGAAAATCAATGGGTTGAATTGTAACTGACAAAGAAGGAGGAAACTATTTATGGCTCACAGATGATAGTACAGCAACTCTGGATGGTTATAGGAAACTAACTCCACAGGACAAGAATTCCTTAGGATGGAAAAATTTAAAACTCAACTCACAGGAATTAACAGCACTCATACAAATTAAAGTCAGGATCAGTGGCTTTCTGCCTCACAGTAATCAGGATAGAAGAATTCTTGCACAGCAACAAAGGAGACTGAATTCTTAGAAACAAATCTAACATGAACCTTCAGTACCTACTTGAGGAAAACTTGAAGCACTCTTAAAAGATACGCAAGCAGATTCGAAAAAACGTACAGATGTTACCTGTTCTTGGAAGGAACAACTCAAGATAATAAAAAGCCAGTTCTTAACAAAGTAACACAATAATGGTAAACATACCACTCTTTTTTTTTTTTAAAGGGGAAATTAGATACAAAAAATGCAAGTATAACCAGGAAGACACTGAAAAGGGAAAACTAAAGGGAAGCAAGGGAGGAACGTGTACCCCAGAGGCTGGAATATACCTTAAGAAACTTCATGAAGCCTACATATTAACATGGTATACAGCTAGAAAGCGTTGATTCATATGGAATCTTATCTATCACAGTGCCACTTTGCAAATCATGGGACACGATGGATTTCCAGTCACACCAGAATCTGGGTAGCCACATGTAGAGAGATAAAATCAGGAGCTCTTTATATCACACTAAGAGACAAATTCCAAGACAGAGACCTCAAGGAATGGGCGAAGTTACATAAACAGTAAAGGGAAATAGCAATTTTTCTTTAGTTTTAGCTTGGGCTCAAACATTAAAGACAACAAAATATTGATCATCATGACTACACAAATTTTTTTACATAAAAAAATCACCAACATCATCAAAAGTCAAATGACAAATTAAAAAAAAATTGCAACATATATCGCAGACTTGATCTCTATGACATGTCTAACAGTCCCCAAAATAAAGCTCTTGGAAACTGAGGCGAAAAACACCAAGAAACAAAGACGAATGAGAAAACGGTATGAGCACATTTACAAAAACAAAAGTGGCCCTTAAATAGAAGTGTTCAAAGTCACTTCTAACTGGAGAATTTTGAATGAAAGCAACCTTGAAATGTCTCCCCACCCCCCTCAGAGTGGTGAAAATGTCAGGGTGTAAACCTCCTGAGGAAGTGAGGCTGTAGGGAGACTGTCTCAGGCTTTCTGCATGCTGTTACCCCACAGTGACTCCATGCGTGTAGTTAAAGGATGGTTACACTGGATTCTGGTCTTACCTTCAGAAGAGAAGTGTGGTTCTAGCTTATTCTCAGGACCATGGGTGTGGATGGTGTCAGCAGTAATTCTGTCTTTAACGAAGGCATGGAAGAAACAGGGAACATTTTCTGTACACTTGCAGGTACAGGGGCATTTATTTTAAAATATTGGTTGAAATGCTAGTGTCATTTTAGAGTTTTATCTGAAAACGAGTTTGGGATGTCAGCATGTAGATACTGCACATTCCCTTGATCCTTTGTCTTTTGACCTCTCCAGGCTGACTTGACACTGTGGATCCATTTTCAACATACTACAGCCCATAAGCATCAGACTGTTCACCAGGGTCTTATCTGTGACCACAAAAACTGGTGAATGAAAAGACCCTGCAGAGGGACGTGGTTGTATGAGCCTTGGGGAGAAAGGCAAAGGGAGGAATACAGGGGAATGGATACACATGTGTGTGCATGTCCACACGCCTCCTGGCTCAGCCAACTGAATAATGCCATCACCTCTTGTTCCTGGCCTTTAGGGGACTTCCCTAGCAAGAGGAGCAAGTCAGGGGCAGAGAGGCACCAGAAAAGCCACAAGCATCTTGCCGAGCCAAAGAGCAGGTGAGCTTTAGAAAGTGAGAGGCAGTCAGAAGGGGTTCCCAAGGTCAAGTGTACGGTGTCAAGGTCAGCACAAGAAATAACTAGAACGTAGCTTTTAAAAGTAGTAGTGAGTGAGCATTAGTATCTAATGATAGGGGCTGCGTTAGGATCATGGGTAAATAAGAAGGAGTCGCTCTTTCTTAGAGCAGAATCCTAATTACTAAATACATAAAAAGTGGAAGAAAAAGGATAATCATTTAACAAACACTATACTAATTACCAGGCAATTTGCACAAGTCTGCAGGTGGGACGAGCTTGGGATGTTAGACCTTCATTTTAAATAGAATCGTGTTCTTGTTCCTACCACGATTCTATCACTTGGATCTATCCAAACTCAGAGGCTGGTCACTAGAGAAGCTGAGTAGGGAGGAGGTTGAAACACAGGTCCCAGGGGCCCAAACAGAGCTGCTTAGTGGGCCCAGGAAGAAACAATCACATCCTCTGCCCCATGCCAGAGGCCATTGTGCTTGGGAGCCTTAATCTGGTTCTGCAATGGGCCACACAGAATACATTTAAATCCTACATATTACACTCCCACCTTCCAAATCTAATCTAATCATTTTTAGGGCAAAGAGCTCTATCACTTCCTGAGCATCAAACTTCTCTGAACCATTGCATACTGCATCTGTTGGAGGGAGGCTTTTCCTAACTCCTGGGGCCCTGGAGGACTCTGGCATCTTACTACCTCCTTCCTCTAGGGAGGAGAGGTGACTTAGCAAACCTATAATGGGGCCTCTCTTTCCCTCCTGGCATGTATATTCCTGAGAGAAGACATTTCTAGAAGTTGTGCAGGATTGGGGTGGGGCTGGGGAGCTGGGGGACCGTCAGTCTTAGGGCAGAGCTCTTTAACTCAGATAAAGCAGTTACAATGTGCACCTGGCTCTGTGTCTTGGTAGGTTCTGGGCTGAGCAGGGGAGATGCTTGGGTTGTAGTTACCATTATTGCCAAATTTCTCCTTGTTCAGAGACGAAAGCTCTGAATTATCCAATAATTCGTGGTAATTCTTAGAGCCGTTTTCTTGGTAAGTCTCATCAACACTAGAATCTTGGATGAAGAAGATAGAAAGAAATTGGAAAGCATTGTCTTGATTACACATTTGTGGACATTTTTGGCTCAATCTCTATTTTACAGTGTCAGGCTAAAGGATTATAGTGTTCAAGTTCTGTTTGAAAAGGTGAGCTGGTTTAATCTGTAAATAGGCATCATCTGACGGCCTAGAACCCAGAGACTTGGGTCTAGGCAGACGTGAGGTGAACAAATCTTTGAAATCTCTATCCGAACCAAAACTCCCAGGAAGTACTGAGCCCTCCTATCTCCCAATACATTTCATGAAGAACCTGGGGGCTTCTGACCCCCCAGATCCTTCCTTGCCACTGTCCCATAAAACCCTCTGCCAGGCGCCCTGTGCTGTTTGATCTGCTCGTACAGTCTAGCAGTGTGAAGCTGTGCTGTGTTTTGTCTTGGTCCACAGTTCCCTTTCACCTTGAACATGGCATATGCTATGCCTTGTTTTTTTCTTAATCATGTGGGGTGACAGAATGGCTCTGAGGCTCACTCAGAAGCCAGGAGCACAACGAGATGGTATGGTTTAAACTGTAATGCATTGACTCAATCTGTAAGCCTCATGTTCCTGCAGCAGCTAAACTCCATTCACACCCTGAGCCCAAGAACGTGTGCGTGTGAGCCAGAGATCATTTCAGAATGAAGCAAGCCACCCCTACCATGGGGCTGACTCCCTCACTCTCAGAAAGGCTATGGCCTTGTCTTCTCTCATGAGTCCATAGTTGGCTCAAATAAATGTGCAAACCACAGAGTCTTGTGGTTTGCATCACAGGTCTCTAGGAATATATGCAAATATCAGGGTACAAAGGGGATACTTGCTTTTTTCCTTAGTTTGCTTTGTAGTTGTTGATGGCTTTGTTGTTTTTGTTGTTTCAGACACTGCTGATTTTTTTGGCTCCAAAATCTCCTGGGCTAAAATTTCATCTTGGGAAAAGCACATAAGAACATGTTAGAGCCAGCGATTTAGGACAGATGTTCCCCGCACAGTATACCTCAGGCAGCCTGTGAAGACAAGGTAGCAAACAGGAACCTAAGGAATCTGTGGGCTCTCTGGAGAGCCTCATCTTGGCTGGGCTGTCCACTACATCCCTAAATAATTTTATAAAAGTTGAGGCCCTCAGGGTATCTCCTAAATCTGATATAGTTTGGATATTGAATGGCCCCATAGACCCCTGTTTTAGTTAGCTTTGTCATCTCTGTGACCAAATACGTGGGAACAACTTAAATAAAGAAAGATTCCTTTGCTCCCAGTTTCAAGTTTTCAGTCCATCATGGTAGAAAGGATGTGGCTGAGCAAAGATACATTATGGCAGCCAGGAAACAGAATGAACAGCCACAGGAAGGGGCCTGGGCAATATATATCCCTTAAGGACACATCTCCAGTAGCCTACTTTCTCCAAACAGACCCTGTCTTCCACAGCTCCACCACACCCTAGTAGTCCATTCAAATTTCGAATCCATTGGTAGAGTAAACAAGTCATTAAGTCATAACCCTCATGATCTGACATCTTTGGAAAGGCACTCAGTGAGTACACACACACACACACACACACACACACACACATACACACATACATACAACTTTCTGGAATTCCACTACCTCCCAACAGCCTGTTCAAATTTAGTCCATCAGTAGATTAAACCATTCATGAACCAGAACTCTCATGATCCAATTCTTTTTGGGAGTCCCTCACAGGTGCCCCGAGAGATGTGCTTTACTAACCTAAGCATCTCTTGATCTAATTAAGTAGACATCACTATTAGTCATCAGAGCTTACATGTTAAAGATCTGGTCCCCAGGGTGGCACAATCGTGAGGTAGTGGAGCCTTTAAGAGGTAGGGTCTAGTGGGAGACCTTTAGGGCACTGAGGTGTGTCCTCAAAGAAGACTTCGAAACCCTGGGTTATTCCTCTTTTTCCTGGGGTTTGCTCCACTATATGCTACCTCCATAATGTATGTGATGATTCAACAGAGACCCAAAGTGTGAACTTAAAAGCTCCAAAAATGTGAACCAAAAATAAACTTTTTCTCTTCATAAGTTTATTATGTCAGATATTTTGTCATAGTGATAAAAAGCAGACTAATACACCTTAAAGACAAAATGCTAGAAATCTGGCCCCAGACTAAGCCATGATTTTCCTTCCTGCCCTGATTCTGTCCCATGATTCGAGCATCTTCCCTGATTCTGCCCAAATGGGGCCGTATTGCTTTCCCTGTGCTCTTCTCATCTCTCTTATGAAGCGTCTAACATGAGAGTTCTGGACACGAAGTCAAACAAACCTAGACTCTCATTCTGGCCCTTTCTTTACTCAACTATGGTCATGGATGAGTTTCTTCATGTCTCTGACCTTCAGTAAAGTGGGGTGCATGCTTTTCTCATGACTTTTACGAGGTCAGCAATCCAGCATGTGGAGACCACAGTGGGGGCAAACAGCATCTGGGAATGGCCTGTCTCTACAGCATGATAGTCATCTGGTGAGGGGCAGTGCTGAGGAGCAGGCTAGAGCTTGTGGAGGACCTGTGCTGGGGAGTTGCCAAGAGCCTGTGAGGGAGCTACTTGGGAGTCCATGGGGGCCCTGTACTGGGGAGCAGCCTGGAAGCCATGGGGGACCTGTTTGTCCTGATGTCAGGAGACTGGTCCTGATGGGTGTGACATGCACGCTGGACTTTGGAGATTCAGTGTAACAAAGATTGACAACCTCTTCATCACTTTGTGTTGTTTACATGCTGAAGTGCTGCCCCAGATGGAATATGTTGTTAAAGTTAGTTTGTTTCCCCCACTTCTTTGGAATATGGCTATCAGAGAACTTAGTGCTATACCTGTGGCTTGACCTCTGTGGGGCATCAGGGGTCAGACTAGTGGCCCTTACATGGCAGGACTCTGATGTTGACATCAAAGCTTCAGGCCTGCAGAAGCTGATTCTGAGGATGAACCAAATCAGTCCCTCCAGTGTCTGCAGCTAGTAACAAGTTATCTGGGAAAGGCCCCTTGGCAAGTGCCCACCATCTTGCTTACCCTATACCAGGTATTCCATGTGGGAATCCTTACCAAACACTTCAGGTATGCCATCAGTTGTTGCGTTGAGTGAGTCTTCAGTAACTGGACCTGGGGGTGGGGGATAAAAACCTTAGTTTAACAATATTCATTGATTTTTTATTCCTACCTCTGTCAGTGGATAGTTGTGAGGCAGGCCCCAGCCTACATTAGAGGAAGGAACCCTGCTGGGAGTCCTGCTCTTTCCCATGAGGGCAGAGGGAAGTCCTCTGGGACCTGAGTTTTTCATTGGAAAATGAGAAAAGAATCCACCCATGGGACAGCTGTGTGGGTAAAGCCCATGACTTTGCTTAGGTGGCCTGAGTGGAACCTGCTCCAGAGGTCATTGGTGTTATCCTTGTGGATGATAAGAAAGAATCCAGACTCAAGGAGGACTCTGCTCCATGGCTGGGGCGAATGCAGGAAGAGGGACTGGATCCCTGACAAGCAGACAGGATCACTGATAAGTAACAAAGATGGTGAACTTCCTGCATCTTCTACCTGTGATAAAGCCTGAAAGCCTCTTTTTCCTATCAGCAGGGCAGGGTCCCTCTTCTGGCCTGTTCAAACCAGTTTTTCCAAGGCCTGTCCTAGACCTATCTCAGCTTGGAGCTATGATCTATCAGCCCTCAGCCCTCTCTTAAGTAGATCAGTACAAAATTGGGGGAGAGGGTCCTGCCTCATACTACTAAGAATGCTTAAAATACTAAGCCTCTGCACCCACCCCCAGGGGCTGAGTCTCCTGAAACTGGAGTTATGGATGGTTGTCAGTTGGTATGTGGGTGCTGGGAATCAAACCCGGGTCCTCTGCAAGAAGCAGCCAGGTGCTCTTAATTGCTTAACCACTGAACTGTCTCCAGACCCTAGCCTTAGATTGTTTTGATTTCTGGATCCCTTCTCCACTGTGGGGAACTTTTCTCTCTGTGTGAGTCTGTGAATAATGTTTGTTACCTGTAGTGTCTGAGATTTTATCTACCTTTTAGTTGGGGGAGAAAACAAACCTGATCAAGACCCCTAGATGGTAACAAGAAGGCACGTGCTTCCTTTTATAGGAAGTAGCACTTCACCTCCTGCAAGGCTGTGAGACACTCATCTAGGAGGCCACCAGGCTGGGAAGGCTCCTTCTCAGATTCCCACCTGAGCTGCCCAGAGCCCAGCTCAGCATGCACAGCCAGAGGAAGTGCACCGTCCAGTCACTGACTGGGGCTTTCCATGTTCCCAAATACTCTCTTTATCCTGCATGAAGACACCTCATAAGTACTTTCCCCTGAGTCCCCTGAACACTTGTTGGCTGGTTCTGGCTGAGGTTCCCTTATGAGGCTACAGGAAGACAGACTGGTCACCTTATTCTTCTTTATGAGCAGAGCCTTCCAGGGTGATCCTGTCTGCAGGTAAGAAGTAGAGTCTGGTGGGTGAGCTGAAATGTTCTGGGTGGCAGTTGTCCCAGAGCCCTATCTGATCCATGATGTCTGCTTTCCAGTAGACAGGAAGAGCTGTGCTGGGCAACCTGGAACTGGTGATTCTGAGGACCAGTTTCACCTCTGAAGTGTCCACCAAGTGCTTCCTCCTTCTGACATGATCTTTGTCAGGGGCTATGGTCTTTCCTGGTACATTTCCTTAGCTTGAGCTCAACACCAGCCTCTTCTTCTAGCTCCCAGGCCCTGGGACCCCCAAAGACAGCAAGCAGGGGCCACTGCACCTTCCTGTTCTGAGCCACAGAGCTCTGTCTGGGAGAACTGAAGTTCCATCTAAACCAATGACAAAGCTGTTCTCAAAGGCTTTAATGATGGACAATCTGCATCCCAATGTGCTCATCTGCACGGCTCAGAACAATGGGAAATATGTAAGGAGGTCTGCGGTGGTGATGACAATTGCTTCCCAGTATGCTGACCTTGGTAAACGAAACAAAGTACAGTTCTCTTTGCATGAGACATTAATGGATCATTACGAATGGGTACAGCTGCGCCATGCAAGCACTTTGTTAAAAATATTCTTTTCATTTTGTGTCTGTCCCGCAATTACAATGGAAGCATTGTGCAAGTCAGCCATACGCACATGCGTAGTGTTTATGCTCATGATGTCCGTGGCTGTTAATGCATATTGTCAAATGTAGCGACTCTTCCGTGGTTTTCCTGTTGTCGCCTCCTCCGAAGAGTCATCGCTTCCAAACGGCACACGCCCGAAAGGTCAGGACACTCTGATGTCTTATCAGTGTCCAGGTCAGCACATTATGGCTCTGTGAAGTTCAGTATTGGGTCCTGAGTTTGCTCTGGTTAATCTGAGGGATCACAGGATGGAGTCTGTCTCCATCATGAGTGTCACACCAACTGCAGTCCTTCCTCTCAGTGCACAGCACCTCCCTGTGAGGGATCCACTTATTGTGGCAGGCACAGTTCTCCTGTGGAACACTGGGAACATCCCAGGATGGGGTGAGGATGCCTGTGCCAGCCTCAGAGCAATGTGGAAACTGCCCTTTCACCGTCTTCTCAAGCTGCGGAGACCATGAGGATCATCTAAGTTCAACCAGCCTTCAAGCTGGCTTTGACCAGAACTCAAGAGGTGACACTGGTTGGCAGCAGCATCAAGAGCAAGCCACTTAACAAACACCTGCTGAGCATTCTTGGGGACAGTCAAGAGCTGGGTTGGGCAGCTGTGCATAGGAATGGACAAGTGGAGATGGCAGAGACATCAGTGAGCATGTGTGCCCTGTATCAGTTCTAGACCCTTTTAGCCACATGCCTCACAGCACTTTCCTAGTAAGCACCTCAGAACTAAATTCCTTCAAGAAAAAGGGAAGTAGGAATGTTGGTGTCTTCTATGCTGTTGTTGGGCCATAGTGACCACCTGCCCTTGCACAAACCTCAGGCTAGTCTGGACTGTTCTGTTCAGGCCAGCATTGGCTGTGGTTCTTGGTGCTCGGGACCAGCACTACATGCTCTGCTCTCAGGAGCATCCTGCGAACCCCATGGGGTCAGGATTGGCTTGCTCACCCTTGGAGCTGGGGCCGGGGTCCTGGTTGAACCCTTTGTGAGCCTCAATCTTTGGTTATCTCTGGGGAAGGCTAACATGAAGGAAGGGCCTGGCCTGAGCTTGGACTGGAGTTTTCTCTTCAGCTTTGATGCTGCCACGTGGCATTCTTCACATGGAAGTGACCAGAACAAAGAGGATGGATATAGCCACAGACAGAGCTCCAGGTGGCTACAAGGGCATTCTGAGACAGTGAAGTACATCTGAATAGGACTGGGTATGCTGAGGCAGGATTGAAAGAAGGGGAAACTTTAAGTGAACTTGAGAAAAGGAAAGAGCCCTTCACCCCTGGGATCCGGTTTAAGAATCACAAAATGGCAGACCTAGGTGACCACAAAGTATAATGCTACCTTTTCTGAGAGAGCTCAAACAATCGGGTAGAGGCAGCTGAGGCTAGAATGAAGGAGGTCTTGGACTTCAACCTCATCAGCATCTCTTTTTCAGCTATAAACTCTGTTTTTCTGAGAAAATCTCACAAGCAAGATAATAAACCATGGTAGGAATCCTTTGGCCTTTTTGACCTGTGTTTTTATCGTGTTTACCTGTAAACTAGTACAGCGCTCCTCAGACCTCTGTGAAAAGTTTCTTAGACAAAAACAAGTGTACCAAAACAGATCTTTAGCCTTCGAATGATGTAACTGTAAAAGCCACCACAATATACACTCAGCTGTGGTTAAGACACAAACTCTCTACTGCCTTGAGAATCCCACACTCACTCCTGGCTGCGCATCCTTTCCCTTTTTAAAATACGTCTCTCTCTCAACACCCCGGAGCTCTGTAGCTTTACAGAGAATCTGATACTCTGTGGGCCTCTGAAACTCCCGGGGCCCAGGCTCTGGTCCTCCTTCCTGTTCCTCCTTCCCACCCTCCTCAGCTCCCCATGGCAATTAAACTTCAGGCCTCTGCCTCTGTTGGGGCCCTCAAAGGGACTCAAGAACCCCTAAATCTGTTCTCTGAGCGGAAAGGAAAACAGGTCACTGGAAAGAGGTAGAATATCCCATCTACTCAGGGGCTGGTCGCCTGTCTAAACTGGGCTCCACAACCCCTGTAAGACACACTAGGCTGAAAAAGTGGAAAACCGCTTCCATAAGTATTAACTTAAAAAAACCAGCTTTATACCGAACTTGACCAAACCTTTAAAGAAGAGTTAAGATCACTGCTCCGCACACTGTTCCATAAAGTGGAAAGGGGAGGAACCTGACCAGATTCTACGAAGTCAGCATCACACTCATATCAAAACCAGGGATGTGCACAACAAAGAAAGAAACTATAGACCAAGTTCCCTGGTGAACATAGATGCAAAAATGCTCAATAAAATTGCAAATAGAAAAAAGAGAGAAAAGCTAGTTTTAATTCTGCTGAATAAGCAGCTCAAATCACCCCCACTGTTGTCATCATAATTTAATATACAGGGAAGATTTTTAAATTATGGTATGAATTTTAATTTTATGCATTTTATTATTTTTATTTTACGTATAGGATTGTATTGCCTGCATGTGTGTAAGTGCACCCATGTGTGCAATGCCCACAGAGTCAGAAGGTGGTGTCGTATTTTCCTGGAACTAGAGTTACAGATGGTTGTTAGCCACCATGTGGGTGCTGGGAATTTAACCTGGGTCCTCTGCAAGAGCAGCCGGTGCTCTTAACCACTGAGCCATCTCTCCAGCCTCACATTTTATTTTTCTAATTGTATTATATATCATTATGATATAAAGTGAAGGTAAACATATTAGTTACTTTTGTGTTGCTCTGATAAAACACCATGACCAAGGCAATGTATAGAAGGAAGAGTTTATTATGGCTTACAGTTCCAGAGAGCTAAGAGTCCCTCATGGTGGGGAGCTGTGACAGTAAGAGGCAGGCGTGGCAGCAGGAGCAGGAAGCTAAGAGCTCACCTTCAAGCAAGGGAGCAGAGAGAGCAACTGGAAGCCGGACTAGACTATGGACTCTCAAAGCCTACCTTCAGTGACATGCTTCCCCCAGCATAGCCACACCTCCTAAAGGTTCCAGGACCCTCCTCAAACAGTGCCACTAACTGACCAAGTGTTCAAATACTTGAGCCTATAGGGGGCATTCTCATACAAAGCACCACAGTAACTAGTGAGTTTTGAGTTACATTCTGTTCCCAATTTGTGACTAAGATTTGAGAGAAGCTCTAAGAGTCACATGTGTGTCTGCCTATCTGTGAGAGAATGTGAACCACACACATGTGACATTTTTCTACCTCATTAAGCTCACTGGCTTGAGCTGGGGAAATGTCACCAGTTAAAAGCATGTACTGCTCTAGCACCCATGTCTGGTGGCTCACAACCACCTGCAGCTCCAGCTGCAGGGAATCCTCTGGCCTCTGTGGACACTGGTGTTTATGTGCATATCCACATGTACACATGCACATAAATAAAAATAAGTAAAAAAATATCACTGGCATGTCTACAGTTTCACCAGCTGCAGACACAGAACAGGCAAGAGGCCTGTTCTCTACAGTGTACTGGTAGACTATGGCCGACCTGGTAAATGAGGTGATGGTAGACTGTGTTTGAGAATGCCTACTTAGAAACTAGTGTTATGATTAATTAAGGGGTAGAGTTTCATAGATAATCTCTAAGTAATATAAATTATTGAGACATTCTCTACAAAGCTCAAGTTTACATCCACACACTCTTGGCTTCTTCTGTATAGAGACTAAATATATTCCAGTCTATTAATAAACATGCTGCTTCTATTACATTCAAAATGATACATGGAGGGGGCTGGGGAGATGGCTCCACTGGTAAAGCACTTGACTTGCAAGTATGGGGACTTGAGTTCACATCTTCAGAGCTCATGTAAAAAGCTGGGAAATGGAACATGTACCTGTGAAACTGTTGTGGAGGATGAAGGGCAGAGACAGGTGGATCCTTGGAAGTTTGAGAGCCAGCTAGCCTGGCCTGTATGGTAAAGGTCCAGACTAACAGACCCTGTTTCAAACAAAAGATGAGAGGCACCAGGGCAGAGCTTTGGAAGCTGTCCTCTGACTTCCACATGCATGTGCACACATATGCACACACACAAACACCTACATCCACCAAAAAAACATGACACAGAGAATCATGGCTCTAAATTGGTAAGATGGATATCCATGAAACTTGCTCCCAAGTGCTGATGTGTGACCTATATCCCACAGCTGTCTCCAGTTTTCTCTACTAAAACTATAACTGAAATATGTAATTAAAGCTCCCACGATTAATAGGGAGGAGAGACTGGCTTTGCAAGCAGGCTGCAGTGGAAGCAGTGTGTGTGTTTGATAAGGGAACATGTGAGACTTGAAGGATGCACTTTTGTTAAGAAAAGAAAACAGTCATTTTGCCATAAAAGTAGTTTAAAGGCTATTTAATAAAGAAGAGGAAAATAAGGAACAAAACCCCTAAATGGGTAGGGTAAGGTGTGAAGGATCTATGAGAAAAAAGAGAGAGAAATCTAATCTCCTATGGCTGGGCAGGGTAAATGGACGGCCATTGTGAGGTCTTAAAATGAGCTCCCTATCAGGCGTGCGGCCATGCGGAACTGCCGTCTGCTTTTCTCTCTCTGCTCAAAGGACAGGGTTCTTTGGACTATTTGTCTCTTCTTAATAAGAGATTATAAGGGTTTTCTTTACTTGTTGAGGAATCTCACTAGGAAACAAAGGTTCTGTTCTTACCAAAATAATTTCCTGTGCTTCATGTTGTTTTTCATGCATTTTATTACTTAAGAAACTGGAGTCCTCTCAATATTGAGAGAGCTAAGGGTTGTTTTTGTTTTTTTTTTCCTCTTTAACAACTATGTTACTTCCTATATATTTCTTTAGAATCTTCTGTCATTTTGGTTATATGGATAATTAAGTACTGTTTCATAGTAACCTGCGGCCTCATTTAGTCAAGCATTCAAAACTTCTGACATTTTTGACGCCTTCTCTGAATCAAATTCTAAATGCAGTCTTTCTGACCTCAAGCTAACTTTGAAATTTCCCAGAAGGGCCCTGGAAAGTGTCAGGGGATTTGTTCTGTCACTGTTTGAAAGACAGATGTTAAGCTAATTAGCTTATTTGTTAAGTGACTGGCGTAGGAAGCTTCCAGCAACAATTGGAGTGGAACCTGCCTTGCATCACACCTGTGTGGGGTATGTCCATGCAGTTCAGAAATTGTATGGCATTCCTAGAGATCCATCGTGTCTTTGCCACCACAGTAGGTCCCTGGACAGTGTGTGTAGTCACAATTTCAGTTACTGACATAAAACGACCACTTCTCCCTCTGACTGAGAATGGGGGACTCACACCAGGTCTTCCATCCAGTTCTGAGCCCTTTGTCCTTTACAGTTTTATTCAGATGCTGTTTTGAAAGCACATGCACTCAGAGATAGTCCAAACAAGATACCCTAACCAAGACACTAGAGTTAGGCTTCTGATGGCGCCATGATGACGCCACCAGGCTATGTTTAGACTCTGAGGAAGAAGCAGGTGGGCCCCTGAAACCCCTGGGCAGGTGAAACAGAGCTAAGGATGGCTAGTTTCATGAGCATTTGTCTGAAGCATTGCTGATGGCTTTGTGCTTTTTCCCACATTCAAAGACAGCAATTTACTAACTCACAGAATCTTGATAATTATTTTTTCAAGTATTTTAATTTTTATTTAAAAATAT